ATAAAGGTTGTAGGCAATAGTGTTTATATTTGAGTGGGTGGGTTAACAGTTTGGATTAGTTTTATATAATGTTATTCATGTTTAGGTATGTATTTAATGTTTCTGGCTTATTGCCAGTACCTGTTTCACTTTCATTGTCAGTCTTGAGGCTCGCTGTCACATCCTGTCAGACCACAAATAATAATTCTGGATCCCCACGTTTTGTGTTTTTCAGAGTCTTCCCTTGGCAAGTATAAACAGTACAATGGAAGGTAAGGAGTCCTTCAAGTTTTAAGCTTTTAAGTCTGCATGTCCTGGATAATATGAGTTAATAAAACTTTCTTCGAAAGAGTAGCTCTGACTCTTTTGTTACACTGTATTTTCTACAGTGTTTGTGGTTTAGAGAAAATAAAAGGGGGAGACTAGAGTTTAACAAAAATATATTCCCTCGTGTTGTGCTCGTCATGCAATGCTGAAAAATACAAATGACTTGCATGACTTGCATGCTAGTTAGTCATCGAATTTCATCTGAATATAGAGCACAGTAGAGCATGTCTAGGCTAGCAACGATTACTGAACTGCTGACCTTCTCTCTTCATATCCTTTTGCTCCCTTACATTGCTATACATTAATGCTAATTAAAGAGGAATGCACTGGTAGAACTTGCAGGCAGAAATAATTGCATGGACGTGTAAGACAGAAGGCCAGATCAGCAGAAGGCATGCAGTCCACTCAAGAGGCACTAACTGGCCATTGAACTGTCCCGTTGCGCTGTACTACATTACAGTTCATCTCCTTACCATGGATGCTTCCCCAGCCGTCTCCTCCCAGCCTGTCTGCTTTTATAAACAGCTGTTGTAGTGTAAGGCTCCATTTGGTGACCTTTGAGGGTCACCACAGTCCCAGAGGTGCCTGCAGGGCAACTCCAGTTCCAGATCCAGCAGGGTTCTGTTCATGGCCATGTTCCCAGTGTTTGTTTTCTCTTACTTCTCTGTTTGGCCATAGTTGTCCCTGTTCTTCCTCCACAGTCTCCCCAAAGCAACTAGGACACTTTCACACATGTACTCCCACAGGAAAGCACACTGTACATTAAACAAATGGGGTTTTTTTCCCCTGAAAATGAAAACAGGATACATACTGGTGTATAGGTTTCTGTGTACAGGGCATGAAAGCATATCATTGCTGGATTACTGAGCTAATTACCAGTACTGTTTGTGTAGAACTGTATCATCTTTAAGTTTAACCTTTTTAGCTGTCAAATACAATCGATATTGTCACAGTAAGACGAAAAACTGATCGCTAACCAAATAAAAATGCAGAGAAGTCCCAGAAAAAAGATGGCACTGCTTTATACTTTGCCTACTCTTATTCACAGTGCTTGTGTTTGAAAAAGTTTGGGGTCGCAGCTTTTGCCGCACCATTGAGAAGCTGGTGGAGGTGGTGCAGGAATACCCATCGGAGGTGGAGCACATCTACAGCCCCTCCTGCGTTCCCCTGGTGAGGTGCGCTGGCTGTTGCGGAGATGAGAACCTGGAGTGTCATCCCACTCAAACCACAAACGTTACCATGCAGGTAAGACCTAAATGTTGTGCAACATAACTGTGAGTTATAACTCGTAGCTGTGAGCGCTTCATGAGATCGTTTTGACAAATCTCTGTTTCACCTCCACCCCTCCGCCATTCCCAGCTTTTGAAAATCAGGCCATCAGAACAAGGTCAAGAATATGTTGAGATGACGTTTGTGGAGCATCAAACATGTGAATGTAGGTAAGAAAAAAAGAAGGGTGTTGTGACATAAGTTATTGATAAGTATGCAAAATATAAACCCCGTCTCCTGGAAGTCATGTTTATGTTTCTCATAGATTCATCTCCAAAAACAACCCCGTGCTTGAATTGAATACCTAACAGAAAATAAAGTTGTTTTCCTAAAGATTCCTGCACTGTCGACACAATATCTGCTAATCGAGTTTGGTCATTAACAGCAGGCAGCATAAACGTAACTTCTAGAAGACTGGGTGACTCTCACAGACTTTCAAATGTTGTACCTGGACATTCATGTTAATTTATCGAAACCTTTGCCCTCAGAATCAGGAAACCTGTTGTGAAGGTTCCAAAGTAAGGGATTATTCTTACAATACCAATTTTGCTATTTGTCAAAAACCGCAAGCTTTTTTTTTATAATTTGGTTCTTGGTTCAGGAAAAGGCGAAGAGGAAGAGGAAGGAAGAGGAAGGAGAGACAAAAAAAGAAGGAATGTGACAGGTGAGGGGCACATGGGGGGGAGAAAACGTTCACATATCCACCATTTTATCTTATTACAGCTTTTAACAGAGGCTACGTTATCACTTGTGTTCTACAGGTGCCAGATTCCTCGCAGGTAACTGCAGTGGCGACCCAACCCCCTGTTGCAGTGTGGCTCACTATTTGTTTCCAGCCCAGTGGGAGCATCAAGAGTCTCCTTCATTCATCTATCAATACTGTGTCTGCAGCAGGAGACTCAAACAGCTGGGTTGATTTGCTGACATGCCCTTATGCTGATGGGCAGGGTGTTTTTGTAACGACAAGGTTTAACAGGAAGTGCGTTTTGACTGGTGGAAACACTGCTGTTACAAGCCTGAAACAATGGACATCCCTGGGAGCCAGTGCAATGTAGAACCAAACAGACTGATGTCTTCTTTTTATGCTAGGTATTACTGTATCAGTTATTATTTGTTAAATCCTTTGGTATTTAAAAGAAGGTTACACATGTAAAAAAGAAGAAAAATCTATATTTATTAATATAGTTGGACCAGAGAACACCTTGTGGACTTGATGTGCAACTTCTTTGTACATGCGATAAGAAAATGTCTCCCTCTAGTGTTTATGGAAAGTGTTTTAAACCTCTATATTAAAGTATTTTGCAATCAGATCATCATCATATCTGAGATCTGTTCTAAAAGCCATTGTTGCGTAATTGCTTGGTGTGTATAAATCAAACTCTTTAACAGCATCATGTGACCTGAATGGGAAAACAACATTTAGCAGAAATGTTCATGAAGCGAAGATTTTCACAAAACTTCAAACTTTCCATATTTATGGAATCTAGCATACAGATGTTCTCCTAACAAGAGGCTAATCTTGATTATGGCGTGGCGAGATCAACGGCAACTGGCACATTCGTGTTAAAATAATGAATACACTTATGTTTGAGTAGCACACATGTTTTTGCAAGAGCAGAAATTCCTCGTTTCAATTTTTTCATTTATAATTTTGATCAAAACATTCTCGGATATTTCAGCTCGCCCATCATGCATTTCCAACTCAGGACCAAATACCCATGCATTGCTTGTTTAGTCGCTCACAGTAGACAGGTTGCAGTTCTATGACAATACATGAGCTTTCAGGAGGGTATTTGAGGTATGCAGATTGAATTAAATACTGTACAGAGGGGCAGTGCACATCAGAGGGTTGGACCCAGTTTTTGGCAAACCACTCATTTTTTCTCGAGTGTCAGTCACAAGGACATAATAACATACGGTGCACGTTCAATGATACACTACTTCACTCTGCCTGTGCCTGTACTTGAAACATATCAAGGACCATACAACTAATACCCACAAGGCTTCCTTTGAATGCCGTGGAATATTTGGTGTGGTATGTTTCTTACTGTGGTGTAAGCAAATAAGTGAAATGTGAATTCAGATTTAAGTATTCCACTGGGATATATCCAGTCATACATTGTCTTATCTACTTGTCAAAGTAATGGTTGTGGAGGAGGCTCGAGCCTGCCTGTCCCTGACCTTGGGCAGGAAAGAGGGTACACTCCAGACAGCTCACCGGTGTGTCTACGGAATACAGGTTAAAAGTAATTGCACTGTATGGAGTGCTGCAGCAACAGGGGAAAGCTTGAATATAAATTATTTTTGCTTTTTATAGCCGTTAAAACATCATGTAAGCCCTCAAAATCTTTTTTTATTAGATTCCAAGCTTGAGCTCCCACATGTGAAAGCATTAGTTACAGTCTCAAATGTTCATCCCATATGCTGTGTGCAGCTGAACAGCACAACCTTGTGTCCAACTGGTGACTCAACAATCCCATAATCCCACACCACAGGTGTCATCCTCTGTTTCTAGAAACACTGCAACATGGAAGGGATGAAGTTTTGTAGATATGTTAAATGGCGTTTGTTTGTTTGTTTGTTTGTTTCATGTATCACATAAAGAAAATCTATGAAAATGTAAAAATAGCATTTTGACTGACGTAGTGTTTTATTTCATTTAAATATTTATTTTGTAATAAAACTGTTATGATTGTCAGATTGTCTTGTGTAATTGTTTAGTAATTCCAGCTGTATTCAATAATTATATACCAGTAGGCAATCCTAATAGATGTACCAACTGCTGGCAGTCTTAATCTGTTTCACATTATCACAAATAATAGCAAACTATATGATAGGCCGTTTGCATTTGTAGGCTTACAATAAAATATCAAACAGGGTAGATTTTTTTAAAAAGACGTTTTTCAGCCTAAACAACTAGTCTGATGGGGTTACGCACACCATAGCGTAACCCCATCAGAGCATAAGTCTCAAAACAAGCTCCTCTTTCGCCAACCCCAAGAATAAAACATGTACTTCACCCGTTTCCGTAGCAACCTCGATGTATCAGGTTATTAAAGCCCTTAATAGTGTCTCACAGGGAGTTGTTGTTCCCGTCACAGCTCTTAAAAGTACACTTCTTAAAACCACTTAAATTACAACCACTAAAAACTGGACTTATAACCCCATCATCTGAAAACCCTTACTTACTTTTAGAAACTTATCCAGGAGGTTGCCGTAACAGACAATAAAGTTGCAAATGTGTTTTGCGCTTTTTTGTCCTTAGATAAAAATATTATTATTATTTAATACTTTCAGAAATGTATTCCATAACAAACCAATTCACAGCATGAATACTTAAATACAAATTATTTTCTGTCACCGATTTGTTTAAAACCATATCTGCGTGAATGCGCGTACGTAATTGTGTTTACCTGTAAGACCGCGTGGAGGGCGTTTATTTTGTAGCGCACATAAGTAGAGCTGGCGTTAGCGACACGGTAGTTGGGTGGCTTTAACTAGCCACATATTTTCAAGCTACTAAAGTCGTATTTTCGCTTTGAAGCAAACGACGTCTTGGTGAGGTTTGTATAAATTATGCTGATACTCATATTGCTTATCGATCCCGTGATAGCAAGAGTTCTGATCTAAAGCTACGGTAGCTAGCAGCTAGCGTTACCTAGCTAAATGAATAGTAAACAGATAAAACATACTGTCGATGATACAGACAGCACCTAATGTTGCTTTCCATATTTTGTTATTGCAGAAGCACATTTGTGTAACCCTAAAGCTGTGTGTGTGTTTGTGTCGCGTACGTTGTTTGACGTTAACGGCCAATGTTGACAAAGTTGCGTGTATTGCAAAACAATGCTAGCTGTAGCTAGTTAAGAAGTTATAAACGCTGGACTGTTCAGCATCCCAGCTTTATAACAACGATTGTCTGCACTAACTTCTTTATTTGTTGTTTTTGCTGGGTATGTACGACATTGTTTTATTTTGTTTTGTTTTTTTAAAGTGTGTCTTGCCATGACTAGCCATCGCAGTGAGTGGTTGTGGGAGGGTCACAGGCCCTTCATCCAATCGTTCAGCTCGAGTTTGTAAAATGGGAGACGTAAGGAAGATAATAATACGCTTTTATGATGTTTTAATCTGTTTATTATGCAGTTTAAAACATTACGTAATCCCGTTTGTGGGTGTGCGCCTGCTCTTTTCAGTATGTTGAAAAATAAATACAGTCATGTACAGTATGCATACAAAGTACAGGCCTTAAACGTGAAGTGATGATTGTAAACAATTCAAAGTAGAAGCTCTAAAAAGACAGATTACGTATTAACTAGAGGTGAGTGTTTATACTGTGACTGTTGTGCTTTTAGTCATTATACATTGTAAATCGTATACAGTAATGAGTTACTAGGAAAAAAATATAGGCAAGGACAAATTAAGGGAACAACCTGAAGCCTTGGCCCTGCTGTGTCTGGGTGACCACCTTTATCTTGTGATTGTTTACATTTATAATTGGCTGCTGTTTATTTATTTGTTCCTAATTTATATTTTATATAACTAGATTGTCACGTAAGATATGACATGTAAATATTTTAGTTTATAAAGGTTTTTAAAATCTGTAAATTATTAGCAAAAGCAATCATTGTGACCCATCTGTCTGTAGCCAAAGATCTTTAAAAAGTCTCAATGTCTTGAGATGTCTAGCCAAATAGGATAATGTGTCACCTGTCATGAAAAAAATCCAAAGAAATTGAATATTACTGTTTTAAAATGGACATATTTAATATTCTCTCCTTCCCAAGTCACTGAATGGATTTAAAAATAAAGAAAAAATGTCATCAAACTGTATCACAAACTTGCATAAGACTGTCCTGGAGAAATTAAGTTGCAGTTATTTAACTTCGTCTGTCCGTGTTTTTTTTTGTTTTTTGTTTTTTTTTCCTGGATAGACCATCATGAACCGGTTTAATCAACCAGGCAGTCACAGGACTCTGCCGTTCACCCGGACATCGCACCTTGGAACATGCAAACAAGACCTGGAAAGAGATTCAGGCTTCTCAGGTTTGATTTGCTTACATTCAAAAAAAAAACTAGCATACCTTTTAAGTCTTGTGATTGTCCAAAATATTCTTGATTTTGTCTGAAAGAACACGTGTCTTGACCTGGGATATAATTAGCCTTTATATAATTACAAATAATGACTATCAGTTCATGAACATGGTCGACCCTAATCAAATGTGGAGATCTAGGTCACATTTTCTATGTAGGTTATTTACAGTATGGGGGTTGACCTGAATTTGATTTAGCCCTTCACATTAAGATGATAGTATCCTTTTTCAGACACGCTACAGATATTTATCTACATCTGCCACTGTTTTCATACAGCTAATGTTCTTCCACACAGAGCAGAAGTCTTTCTTTTAAACATGATGAGCCTCATATACGTGTCGTGTTGTCCTCTCAGATGCTAGCTCGGAGTACCTCAGCACAGTCGAAGTGACTGACTCTGAAGATGCAGCAAGAAATGGGTCAATAGTCAGCCAGGAGCCAACTGGTCCACAGGTGGCTGTGATGGGAGGTTCATACACTGGACTGTCTCCAATGATCATCATGAACAACTTCGTGTTAAAGCAGGTAAAATATTTCAATATTTGTCTGAACAGACTACTGTGTATTTCATTACTCTTAGAGTGTTTTATTGCTATATTGTCTTTGAGCTGTAGTGCTCAATGGAGCATTGTTTGGCTCATAGTCTCTTAAAGAGTGTTTTGTACTCTGAACTTTTAGAGAAATTAGTTAAAAGCTTAATTTTGGATGGAGTTTATTAACTCAAATTGAGCATTCAGATCTGTCTATGCATGTTGTGGGTAATGTTGTGTTTTAACACTTTCCTTAGACTGTGTATGATCTGGGGCTGGGCAGTTTTCTTTATAATTCAATTGTGCTATCCTCTGAGATCAGCAAAAGTGATATCAATGCTGCTGAATTGGTGGTGGGTTAATGTGCACTCACTGAGGTAATATCCACTCCCAGTAAGCCATACTGTGTACCCCAAACACACCAAAAGCAATAATGCTACTGTTTGATGATAATTCAGCCTTCCATAATTAGAGTTTATAATAGAACAGTTATTAGCTGAACAGTGAAAACATTATTACATCATTACCTATAGCTGGGGGCTACAATCCTCCTAAGTTGTTCAGTCTGTGTTTACTTGTGTAAAATCTCTCACCACTCTACACCAAGCTCTCACCACACACAGTGGCCTCTTTCACCGACAAACACACACACATACACCCACAAAAGTTGAAAGCGTGAGATAAACAGCGAACCCGGCAAGCACTCACATGGAGCTCTCGTTTAAATAAAATCAACAGATATAAACACCTTTTGTTTTGACTCACTTTGATATTATGGTGATGGTTCAGTGTAGCAGGTCCTCCCCCTAACACACAGACACACACACACTTAAGTTATTCATCCATTTTAAAGTGGCAGAGAGGCCTCTCAAGTATCTTATTATAATGCAGAGATGCCAACAGCAGAACTAACCAGAGACATTAAATGTAATAAATGTAATAAATGGAAGAACAAGCTTGACAATCCCTGAGATCATCGACTATAACCCTGTAACTCTGTCATGCACTTTGTTTAACAGCTACCATATTATAGATAGTATAAGAAATGTTTTATAACATTAAAGGTCTGTTTGTTTGTTTGTTTTTTCTTATTTTCTAGCAATCATCCACAGCTCCAGCAGAAAAACAGTGGAACTTTCCTTCACCGTTGGAAATAATGCCTCAGTCACAAGTGGTTCTTCTTCAACCCATGCTATCAAATGACAACAACAGCTCTCCTAAGACTGGCTCTGAAAACACGCGTCAGTCAAAAAGCTACATGCCCATCCTCAAATCATATCCCAAAATTGCCCCGCATCCCATGGACACACCCTCTAAGAGGGTAGGATCCTCAAGGGAGAGGGGGAGTACATCAGCAGGATATAACCAGCGACAGAGGAGGCATCATCATGGCCACAGGGTGTACAGCACCCCCAGCCCCCTGTCAGCACTGCAGATGACAGCCCAAACCACATCCAACTTTGAAGCACCAACAAACCAAGCAGAGAGTCAAGAGCAGCTTATCAAGTCTTTTTCCTCACAGGTAGGAACCAGCTCCCTGCCCTCCTACACAGATGAATTTAGGACTCTAGCAGGAGACAACAGGATGCTTGATGACGAATTCGAGGATGAGGACTCGATGCGCACTAATAAGGAGAAACGCTTCAGCAATACCTACAACATACTCAACAAGTCCGGCTTGCTGGGGATCACCATGCGCACAAAGCAGCTGATCAAAGAGAATAAGCGCACCCAAGACCAGCTGCAGCAGCTTCAGGAGCAGACGACTCTGCTGCTGGAGGCTCTGAGCAGTGGAAACCCACAACTCTGGACTAAACTCCAGCTTTCTCTCCAGGACACAGAAAAGGAACAGTGGGGGGCGAAACCGCAGAGCATCCTAGCTTAAAATATGTACGGACATAATTAGTAGTCCTGAATCTGGAGACGAGGATTAATCAGGAGGCCACAGGGTGATTTAATAAATGTGGACAAATTGTGTTAAATATACTCTTGAACTAAACTTTAAGCTTTCAGACCTTTATCAGTAGGCTGTAGGTATTAATCATTTTCTGCAGCAAAGTCAAGAAATTAGACAGTTTTGGAGCAGCTGGTTGGATATAAAACTAAAGGTCTGTCTCATATTGCACGTTGTTGTTCCGACGACATCAGAATTGATATTACTCCAGGACCGTCACTTCAAACGACCAGTCACATTGTTGGGATGCAGTAGCTCTGCAACTTTGTGATAAAGGATTGTGAAAAACCAGCAGAAGTGATATGGGAAGTCAAAAGCTATTTCCAGCTGCTCCCTTGTCACAAGGGTCCCCACAGTGGGTAGTTCCACATGTTTGATTTGGCAGAGTTATTATTCCAGATGCAACCCTAAAGGGGATTTCTGTCTCCAGCCTAAATATCATTACGGAGTTGGAGAATGGGAATTCAGAAAATGTGACGTAAAGAGCAAGAAAGCCTGTATAGATGACATATCAGGGTAGATGAATAGGTTATATTCAGTCATATAGTGCTGATCTGCCCAACCAAACATCTTCACAGGATAGCAGTAATTATATTTGCTGCTTGTGGTGATATTTCCTATACTTCTTACCCTTAGCAGTGTCAACAGTGACTGGGCTAGTAGAGCAGAAGATATCATTGGCATGCTTAACAAGTGTTTGTGTTTTTACTCTCAGTCCCAGAAGAGGAAGGCAAAAATTTGCACTTCTGGTTTAAGCTTAGGCAATGAAACTACATAGCTACATTTATGGGGAAAAGGGGGGGTTGCAGTTGCAGTTTTAACTGCATGTTAGAAAAGGGCAGAGTCATTTGCTCTTTTTCTCTTAGTTGCACAGTCATGACACAACAATGTAATCGGTCCACAGACACTAAAACGCTGACATCAGATCGTGCTGAGGTCGAAGCAGCCGTTCTTATGAGATGGGAGTTAGGAAGCATGCTTGTATTTCAAACCCTTGCCTATAATGAATTTTCTTGCCTCTTCTGTTTCAAAATAGCAAGTATCACTTGCAATAGGGCTATGGCTTCTGTGTCAAACTCCTAAGTGTAGGGATGCACTGATTGTGAAGTACTGACACCAGTGTTTAGCCGATAGCCCAGGCTGATCCGTTTTTATTTTTCTCTTTGTTTTGTTGAAAAGTTGCAAATGTTTAAAATTCTTTCATACTTTGTCACGCTACCTTTTCTCATTAAACCAGCTCAAAATTGATGGCACACTGTAGATAAACACTGGCCTCTCAATTTGATAAGTGTTGTCTTACGTGCTGAGAAGCCAGTGGTCATCCATATGATTGATTTCAGTTCGTAATGATGTTCGGTCAATATATCGGTGCATCCCTACTTGATTGCATTAATGCATGCCTTACAGCACATACGAAGACACATGGGGTTTACTCCTTATATGTGGCATGAATGTTGTTAGTGTGGAGAAAGTATGAGGGTTATTTACTTCTTAGATCAAATCCATCTTTCATCTTTATTCAGCAGGTTCCTGTGGTCTTTGTTTTTCTTTATCCTTTATTTCTAAACTGGTAAATCAAACTGATAGAGCTGATGCATCTTTTGTAGGAAGTGTCTTTTCAAACAGTGTCTGATTCACAGAGAGTTCAGATGGCTTGCTCGTTTAATGGAAGTTTATTTGGTGTCAGTATTATTTATTTGTAATGATGTTTCTGACCAAGACTAAAGTTGTGTGAATACTGTAAACAGAGATTATTGCACGGATTTTGCCAGTTCTGGTAAAGTAAGCTTCTTTTTTTTAATTAATATTATTATTATTAGATAGAAACTTCATACCTACAGCTTGTAGCAGGTGATGTGCTGTAGCCATATAACTGTGTTGCCTTTGGATTTGTTGCTCTCATGTTCATTCCTGCTATAATTTTTGCTTATTATTTAGTATTAATTTAAACTTTAAGACAATGAAGTGGGCTTGTTTTGTTTCATTTCTCAGATTTCTGAGTTGCCTCTAAACATAAGCATAAGATAATGTGAATATAAATGTTTATCAGAAGCCCTGCACCTCTTTTTTTTTAAGTTAATGTTGTATGTTATGTCAATGCTTGAGCAGCTAAGATTTCTTTATTTCTTTTTGAGCTTAATTTGGGAGAAAGTTTAATATACTTAAGGGTTTCCAAAGATGTATTCTTCTTCTTTGAAGTTGTATAACAACTGTGTGGTTAGATAATGCATTCAAAGTTACAGTATAGAAATCATAAACACAAGTTAAATATTAAGTCTAGGTTCACTTTGATTTGTTTTCAGAACCACGATTTGCATACCCCAACATTAGTAATTAACCTGAATATTAAAAATGAATCAAAAGCAGTCTTGGTTTTAAAGGGGCAAAAGGAGGGTGGCAAATTATTACAGTTTGGATACTTTTTTTTTCTTATATTGTCAAGTGTGCTTTGTGTAAAACTGTTGGAAGACCAGTGTGTCATTATTAAAGACAATAATTAATCACTTGCTGTGATTTGAATACTTTTATTGGTATAACAGGAATAGACAAAATATCTCTAGAAAGTATACTTATTGAAACCCAAAACCTGTTCGACATGAGCAGTGTATTCGTAGCTGGAGTCACAGAATAACAGTGAAAAGTCCTTAATAATATTATTATGCAGAGCGCCTTATTATTAGCAGTGTAGTGAATACCTCATCTTTGGGGTCAGCTATAAGCAAATAAGAAATGACTTTATGGCACATTGTGAATAATAACCCTGGATAATCGTATATTAATCATCTTCCCCACCCATTTTTCCAAAGGAGCATTCCCTCTTCACACTGCCTGAGTCACATTACTTTGAGTAGAGTACATCAGGCTAAACGTGTAATTGTCACAACAGTATTGTCAAGCCTGGCAGTTTATGCTGCAGACAAACGGTTTCCTTGTCTGATAGCCCTTAACGACAAACGTGAGTCATTGTCACGAAAACGACCCGGAGTTTCCTGAACGTCGCTTTGTAGCATCTTAATAGGATGTGTGGAAGAACATTGCACTTTGATAATCTCAGAGCACCGCATGGCACAGGCTGTCAAATAATACAAAATTGCAAAGCTGTGAAGGCATGCAAAGCCATCTTTATATTTTGATGCAAGCGTTTATAGTAGTGTAAGTAAAACTGCTGGATTTCCAAAAATGACCAACTTATTTGTCTTAATATTGCCTTCTTAAAAAGCTACCTAAAGGATACACTTAGACTACGCGCTTATTTCACATTGCTTGTATGGCTCCTGTCCTTAAAGGAATGTGTGCTAACAGCTATTTCACAGACTATTTGAAACGTCAAAAAGCATCCTCTCTGTATTCAAAATCGTTCACCACATGGGTCTTTAGACAGCATTTTCTACAACATGTGTCACTTTTTTGACCTGTGGGGAGCTATTGTTACGATACGAGGTTTTTCTTCAGTCCTCTTTATGGGCATCTGCGTCTTCAGAGCACGTCTCTACTGTCTGCACAGGCAGTATAAGGCCAAGCATCCAGCGGGCTCCAAAGACGTCCTTGAGGTTAGCTCTCCAGGGGTTGCAATTCTCTGCAAGTTGCCCTCTCTGCATCTGACACCATGTCTGCCCCCGGGCCACCAGCAGCACCTGCTGACAACAGAAACCTGCACACACCAAACCGATGCCCAGCCACACGTACAGCATCAGCACCAGGAACAACTGCAGGCCTGAGATTGTTCCTGTGAGGAGATATTGAGGAGGAGAAATTACTGTCACATATATTATTGTTAGAATGGTGGATGGTTGTAGTAAAGAAAAGAGTATTAAATGAGGTCACTGTATATACAAGTAATACCTGTTAGCCTGAAGCTCAGGCAGACTGACCTAAATGCTTAGTTTAAGACCGTTTTGATCTCAGTGAAAGCAAATATCATTAGTGTGGCCTAGCTTTGCAAAAGCCCTGCCGCCGTGCTGTTTTAACCTTCTGTTTGCAAAGGGCATCTAATCAGGACAAAGTTAGCTGAACGTGAATGAACTGAGAGGCTGCGCCAAGATCCAGTTTGTGAATCATGCAAACTCTAGCAGACTCCAACAATAAAAATATTGAGTTGTTAATTGGTGTCCCCTCTGCGATATCAGCTAATGGAAAACTCACCCATGAAGAAGTAACCAGTGGAGAACGGGAGAAGAGTCAAAAAGGTCAGGGGGTTCTCAAAAGAGAGAGAGTACTCCACTGTTAGAAAGGCCACGCCAAGAACCAAAGAGTATA